ACTCCCACACCAACAGCCCCAGAACCTGTCTGGGCTCTGAGACTGAAACAGGTGTGCCTCTTCTGATGTTGAAATGTGAAACAGTGAAGTAGAAGGTCTCTGAGCACAAACAGAGTGCACTCTTGTTTAAAAAGAACACTTCTTTCTCTTTTTCTCTCTCCCCCCCCCCGGGACTCCCTCTTCCCTTCTTGCCTCTTTTCCCTGCTGGCTGACAGCATTTACCTTTTTTGATCCAAACGACCCGGCTTGTCAAGAAATCCTGTACGACCCCCTCACCACAGTCCCAGAACTGTTTGCCATCATCCGCCAGTGGGTGCCCCAGGTTCAGCACAAGATCGACATCATTGGCAATGAAGTGAGTGAGATCAGCCCCTCGCACTTTGTGACACCCCCCCCTCCAGTGGCCTGGTGGCGCGCAGGCCCCCAGCCAGGTGCCTCTGGTGAGGAGGGGCGCCATGGCTCCCTTTGCAGAGGCTGTGGGGCTTGTGGTGGGTGGGGTGGGGGGAGCGGGAACAGGGGCGTTTGGCCTTCTCCTTTACGGCCTGTGGGCTTCTTCGAAGAGGGGCCTGAGGGCTGCAGGCCATCCTTTTCTCTGCGGCTGGGAGGGCTGGGCCGCTTGACCTTTGACCTATGTTCCAGCAGTCTGGTGTCCCCTGATTTTTAATCTCGAGCCTCCAGCAGATCCACAGAAGATGGGGTGTTGGTGGTGGGGGTACCAGAGGGGGCTCCCTTTCTGTCCTCCCCCTGGTTCCTTACATGCCCCTTTCTGTCTTCTCCAGATTTTGAAGCGTGGCTGCCACGTCAACGACCGCGATGGGCTGACCGATATGACGCTGCTTCATTACGCCTGCAAAGCGGGCGCTCATGGCGTGGGTGAGCATCAAGCTCTAATCGTTTTTGCTTAGGGTTCCTTCCCCCGCCCCCCCCCCTGCTTTTTCTCTCTCCAACATCTCACAGCCTGCCTGGCTTTCCTAGGAGAGCCATCTTCAGGTCTGAGCTTCCTGTGTGATTTTAAAATTCAGACTTTTGAAAACTATCTTTGTTTCTGCTCTGTTCTTGTTAAATACACATATTTATATGAACTGTTGGAGAGCTCAGTGGTTTGAGTCTCTGGCTTCAGGGCCAGAGGTTGGGGGTTCGATTCCCCCCATGGGGCCACCTTGACTGGGGCTGGACTGGATGACCCAGAGGGTCCCTTCTAACTTTGCAGTTCCAAGGTGGTGGTGGTGGTGGTGATGATGGTGGCCTTGAGTGGTGTGGCAGTGTGGAAATCTCGGCCAGGGATTGGCTGAGCTGCTGCTGATGTCACAGGGGTTCGGGGGCTCCCATTGGTTGAGTTCCTCAAGTTCTGTCAAGAGGGAGGGTGGACAGAAGAAGAGGAGGTGATGAGCCTAGAAAAGCGGTGGGTAGGAAGGCGGAGTGGGTGGGTGTGATGGAGCCAAGGGATGGGAAAGAGGAGGGAGGGAGGGAGGGAGAGGGGGAGAGAAAGAGTGGCTCGTATTCCTTGTCATCATGCCACGCTGTGCACCCAAGCTTTGACTTGCAGCAAAATTGTCCCTGCACCGTTTACGCCATTTCACTTGCATTGTGTAGGAAAGCAACCGGATTCTGGCCAATGGCTTGCTTTGGATGGTAAATTCTGGTGGGGGTGGCGGTTTTGGCTCCTGTCACCCAAAGGTGCCCTTCGCCTTCTGCTCGTTCCCCCAGGGGACCCTGCGGCTGCAGTGCGCCTCTCTAACCAGCTGCTTGCTTTGGGGGCGGATGTGACGCTGCGCAGCCGCTGGACCAACATGAACGCCCTGCATTATGCGGCTTACTTTGATGTCCCAGAACTGATTCGGATCCTCCTGAAGGCCTCCAAGCCCAAAGGTGTGTTTCAGGGACCCCTGAAGGCGGTGCTCATTGGGGAGGGGAGGGGCCTCCCCACAACGTCCATTCTGATCATCCTTTCAAACAGCAGTAGCCTTTTAAATCAACTGGTTGTGTTGATGTTGAACCATGAATGGGTAAAGGATGCCCAATTCTATTTAAAAACAAGATGTAGTATTGACATTATTAGTTTTCTTTAATTAATAATTTTTTTTAAAAGTCATTTTTATATTTAAAATTTTAAAGCAAATACTTATTTAAAAAAAACTACAGATAGAAGTGCTGTCCTTAAAAAGGGAGGTTGTTCCCCCTCCCCCACTTCCCTTCTACACCCAGAAGAGAATTCCTCTTCTAAGGCAATTCCTGACCTGCGTGGATGCTGTCTGCAAGTCAAGAAATCATACTTCTTGTTTTAGATATACTATGTTTACCTGTATGAAGATTTAATGAGTGACTCAATCCAGATTTCTTTAACCAGTTGACAGACCTACTTTTGAGTGGCAAAGCAAACAAGTTTATTGCTACGTACACATTTTTGGTGTAAATCTATCTCTTGAATAGAGATTTTGATCTACGGTGATGGATGGTAAACAGAGAGTAATCCTTATTCCAGATCAGCAGACTGGGTCTGTCCTAAAGGGATGTGTTTTTACCTCTGTGATGCCTGCGTTCTTCTAAGTTGTTATGAGGAAGGGGGGCTTTAAGTAGGACCTGTTCTTATTTTTGCACAGTCTAAGACCCCAGATGTTAACATCCTGGCTTTGGAAGGTCCTGGCTGTCCTCCTTTTTCTCCTTACATTTGGAACCAGGCTCCTAATCCTCAGTAATACAGGGCTTGTAAATATAGGAGGGATGCTGGCTCAGATTAGCCCCTGCTCTGGCTGCCCTTTGTTAGAAGCTTTCCTTGACCATTTTGGGAAGCAAGCTGCAGTCAGCTGCATCACTGTTGTTGAGGAACTTCCCTGCCATCGTTCTCCTCACCACCTTGACCCCTTCTTTGATCCTTTTTGCAAGAAATGCAGCTTAATTTGAATTCCTGTTGAACCAGTTTCAAAAGGTCTGAAACAACTCTCATACAACCAGGTGGGAAAGGAAAACGGGGCAGAAGCTTTATTTGCCTGGGTCTGGGTCACCTGCGCTGGTGCTGGTTAGCAGGGTTGCAGAATGTCATTGCTGGACAGACTTTCTGGGCACCACCAAAGCAAGAGAGAGGGTCGAGGTGCGATTGCACCCGTGAGGAGAGTCTGCCTGGCCCTGCTGGTGTGTGCTCTGCTCAGGGTTGTTCCCCTTTGGGAACAATTTGCTTCCCAAATTGCCCAGCCAGCGTGGGCCTGGGAGCTGCTACCCAGAGGGCAACACCCCCTCTGCATTTTGACCCTGCCTTGACTGACTCACTCTCTGGCTGTCTCTCCAGGCAGAGTTTCCCTGGAAGGGGCTTGGGCTGCAAGGTCATCTCCCTTGGCAGCGCATCCTGTTCCACAAGGCAGGGCCTGTGATAAAGTTCTTGAGGGTTCACATATTCTTGGGATTCCTTCTGTTATCTGGATCCTCAGCTGCAGGGGGGCTTTATGTGGCAAACACGACACCTTGGGTTTTGCCTGACCACAAACCAGAACCTGGGGAATATTTTCCAGTATTGGGGAAATACATTCCAGTTGGCCCGTCCTAGTTAGGAGACTTGCCCCCAGTATACTGAATAGTCTCCAAGGGCAGCCCTACAGAGGTGGGGAAATGGAATGTGGAAACAAACAGTCTTCTACAGATCAGTATCCCATGGCTTTCACTTCCTTCCAGATCCTTGTTTTATACAGAACCTAGCATACTGTGAGTAACCTTGTTTATTCTTTATTTATTCATCTCTTGGCTTAATACCCCACCTTTCCCCCAGAGAATGGCATTCAAAGCCACTCTTTGTGAAATGGCTCTTGTGGCAGGTTGGTCCTGAGACCTGGTCAACCTCTCTCTCTCTCTTTCCCCTTAAGTTCTCAACTCAACATGCAGTGATTTCAACCACGGGACAGCTCTGCACATTGCCGCTTCAAACCTGTGTCTGGGGGCCGTGAAGTGTCTTCTGGAGCATGGCGCCAATCCCGCCGTCAGGGTGAGAAAAGACAAGGCATGGAGGAGGGGAAGGTGCTTGGGGCGGAGAAACAGACCAGGCCAGAATCTTTGCCAAGGAGGGGAAGCCCCCCCCCCCGGTGTTAGGATTTCAAGTGGCCCTGGCGGGCAGAGGCCTGGGCAAGGGATTGGAGGGGCGGCATTGCAGAGCAGCTGGAGAGCTGAAAGTCTACCGTCCACCTGCCAGAGTTCTCCAGATGTCTGGCGTGCTTTCTTGATTGACCCAAATTGGCTGGCTTTCGACATACTTTGAGGATTTTGCAAAACTTGATAGAAAACAGGATCTTAGCTGCTGCCAGATGGCGGCCAATGCCAGTCGGATAGTATCAGATGCTGAACAATGAACTGAAAAATCAGCCGCAGAAGAGTTGGCTCAGAGGGGTCCAGAGGGGTGACCCGGAGTGTGTGTGTATGGGGGGCTCCCCAAGGCCACTTTGTTTCCTGGAAGTACCATGCCTGGCTCACTTGCACCAAGCATGACAGAGAAAAGAGACCTTCTCTTGGTCAGGAGAGGAGAGCTGGGGACCAGCAGCAGGAGCAGCTGCCCTGAGAGACCGAGTCAAGAGCAGGGCAGGCAACTGTGGGGAGGCCAGGTGGCCCTCCGGCTTCTTAGGAATGCATCGGCCTCTTTTGGCAAACCCAGGAGCGACTGCAAAATCACCTCTGATATGGAGGGAGCATTTCCCCCCCCCCTTTTAACCAAAATAAATGGGTTTGGGGAGGCTTGTTCCACAGAAGAGGTGGGCCTTCCAGAAGGCATGAATTCCCTTTCTGCTTCAATAGGAAGCTTCCTAAGTGAACTGAAAGAAATGGAATGAATGCAGGGCTCCCACGTGTTTCTCCCGCCCCCCCCAGTCTGGACCCTGCCCTCTGCTGGCATAAAAGTTGACAGCCCAGAAGGAGAAATCCCGATGAGAGTAAACTCAGGGACTCAGTGGGCTTTCGCTAGGTGTTGACATGCCAGCCTGCAGTTGATTCAGTAGCTCTGCTCTAGTTGGGACAGGAGCCATTGGGTCTAGGCTGTCAGAGCAGCACAGCCGTGGAGCCCGTGACCTCAGAGGGAGGTGGCAAGGCCGGGCTCCAACCCTGGGGGCCTTCAAGAAAAACTTGGGTCATCACCCGGCAGATCTGCTTTGATGTGTCTTTCTGCCTTGAGCAGGGGGTTGGACTGGATGGCCTTCGAGGCCCCTTCCAGCTTCACGTTTCTAGGATTCTAGGGCACAAGAGGAGGCGAGGAAACCCTGCTCCTCCCGGGCCGAGGCCTCCTCATGGGGCCTCCTGCCACTCCCAGCCAGAGTCCGCACCCGACAGCACCAGGGCCCTGGGAGGGGTGTGTGTGACCCGGAGTGCCTGCCTCCTCACAGCCTCCCTCCGTCTCTCCCTTCGGTCTCACAGAACAGCAAAGGCCAGGTCCCAGCGGATGTGGTGCCCGACCCAATGGACATGACCTTGGACAAGGCCGAAGCGGCCATGGTGGCCAAGGAACTGAAGCAGCTGCTTCTGGATGCCGTCCCCCTGAGCTGCAACCTCCCCAAGGTGACCCTGCCCAACTACGACAACATCCCGGGCAACCTCATGCTCATCTCCCTGGGCCTGAAGCTGGGCGACCGGGTCCTTGTGGACGGGCAGAAGGTGAGGGGGAGCCGGCCTGCTTGGGGACATGGTCTTGGGGCAGGGAAAGCTGGGTGACGTGTCGGGAGCCCTCTGGGCTGCTCTCCCCCCACACACACACACCCAGGCTGCTGGGCTAGGCTGGAGCTTGCTGGACGCCAGGTCCACTGGTGCTCCCCTCCTCAACTCGGAGGCAGCCCTGGGCCAGGGAGGGAGAAGCCCCTGTGTCTTGAGCTGCCACCTGAGACGATCCGCGCTGGGCGTGGGAAGGAATTGCCTTGTTCTGAGATTGCAGTCCTGCCCTGGGATCCGGAGAGACAGGGTGGGTTATAAAAGAAAGAAAGAAAGAAAAGACAGGGTGGGTTATAAAAGGAAGGAAGGAAGGAAGGAAGGAAGGGAGGAAGGGAGGAAGGGAGGGAGGGAGGGAGGGAGGGAATCAATCAATCAATCAATCAATCAATCAATCAATCAATCAATCAATCAATCAATCAATCAATCTGGGCAGGGGAGTTCAGAGGGGAGACGTTTCCAGGCCGGGTGATCTGACTCTGGGTCAGCTACGTCTGCAGCAGAAAGGTGTTCTCTCACCCAAGCCCTCTTTGGCCCTCCCAGGGCTGGGACAGTCTCAGGGCTGTGGGGAGGACTGGCCCATTTGCCCAACGGCTCACTGGCCCTCGGGGCAAGAGAGAAGCGCTCCCGCTGCCAATTCCGGCTTGGGCCTCAAGGGCGGTGGGCAGCAGGCAGGCTGCTGGTCTGGGGCTGCCTTCTGCTCTTTGTGGGACCTGATCCCTTGATTCCTCACCACAGGTGGGCACCTTGCGTTTCTGCGGCACAACAGAGTTCGCCAGCGGCCAGTGGGTGGGCGTGGAGCTGGACGAGCCAGATGGCAAGAACGATGGCAGTGTGGGAGGGATCCGCTATTTCATTTGCCCTCCAAAGCACGGTAAGGGGACACAGGGCAGTCGCTGTTCAAGGGGAGGCAAGTGTGGGCAGTGGGTGGCGTGTGACCTTCCGCCAGGGGTCCCGAGGCTTCCCCTCCTCCTCCTCCTTCTCCTCCGGATAAGATATAAGTCCTGAAAGTTCTTTTGGGTTCCTGGAAGCTCCTCCAGGAGAAGCTTTTCTCTGTTATAAACTCTACGCTAACTCTTCAAACACCAAAACTGGACATGGAATCTTGTTGCCTCGTCCTTCCCTCTCTCTGGGATAATTGGGGTCGTCATGGGGGGGGTGGAACTTGGCCTCAGCCTCTGGGCCCTCAGAGTGTTCCTAGCAGAGACATCAAAATCGATGATCCAAATATCAAACCAGTTTCAAAAACCCAGCAAAACACCACCAAAAACAGCCCTATGAGGCCTCCATCCCAATGTCTGGAGGTGCTACAGAGAAGCAAGACCCTGGCAAAGAGATGATGGCCCCTCTCTTTGCTCTCACCTGGCTCCTTTGGGCTGGGCAGTTCTCAGCCTCTGGGAACAGCGGGGGTGGCAGTGGTGGCCCCCCAGCACCCTGCTTTTAAAGGCTCTGGCCCTCAGGGGGAAGGGAAGGGCAAGGGCGAGGGTTGGGGCCAAGGGCTGACCTCAGGAAGGAGACCTGGGAGGACCGGGGAGGGGGGGGGAGCTTGTTGGCCTCCTGCCACCTTCCGTCTCTGAGGCTGCTGGGGAGGAGAAAGTGGAGCAAGGGAGCCTCTCGGCTCAGCCGGGAAGGGTTTAACCCCACTGGGTACTTTTCTGTGTGTATAACATAAGGGGCCCAGGTTTCTTTTTGGCCCTCCAGGCTGAGCAGCCGCCTTTCCACCTTCGCCCTTGCAGGTGTGTTTGCCTCTGTGTCTAAGATCGCCAAAGTGGCTGACCAGACGCCTTCCTCGGTGACCTCCACCCCCCGGACCCCCCGCATGGACTTTTCCCGCATGACGGCCAGGGGCCGGAAGGAGAAAGACAAAGAGAAGGAGAGGGACAAGAAAGGTAGGCCATTGTGGCCGGGGGGGGGGGAAGCTCTGCCTTGAGGCTGCCAGGGATGGAGGGGGGGCATGGCTCAGCTGCAGAGCTTGCTTTGCTCGCTCACAAGGGTAGCCCTTTTGTTTGCAGCTCTTCTATGATTCCCTTTCCACACACACTCCAGGGTCTGGAGCTTTATGCAAAATTAAAACGGGGCTTATTCATCCCCCCACCCCTCTTCCATGTGTGGAGTGCTGAAGCCGAAGCTCACCAGGGCCTGCTGGAGCAAAGGGGATCCCGCCAGATGAGGCTTCACCCAGGGTCTCCTCAGAACTGGGGCTCGCCCTGGGAGGAAGCTGTAAAGAGAAGAGAAGACTAGAAGGTTGGGGGGGGGAGGCCACAGAGAGGGGGCAGGACACACATCCGTTGGAAATAGCCTCGTTTTTAACTGCAGGCCTCCAAATATTTATCTCAATAAGAATGAAAATGAGGGTTTCCATCAAATGACTTGATACAACCAACAGGTCGTATTCAGCCAAGTAACAACCGTGAAAACAAACTCAGATGGCAAAATGTTCCACCAGCAGCAGCAGCAGCCGCACATGTGAGAGCGGAGGGGGCAATAGGGACTCTCTCTCTCTGTCAAACAGAAGCATCTCATCCCAATTCCCATCTCTCGCCTTTCCAGCTCTCCGGAAAAAGTCCTTGTCCGTTGGCAGCCTGGACCGTGAAGGGCTGAAGATTGAGATTGGGGATCAAGTCCTGGTGGCAGGCCAGAAGCAGGGCACCATTCGCTTCTACGGGAAGACGGACTTTGCACCCGGTAAGGAAGGCAGGTGGATTGGGCATTAAGGCCCTGGCTGGAGGGGAAAAGAGCAAGGAGAGGCCGGCCTCGAGGAGGACCTGAGAGGCTGGTAAGAGCAGGATGGGCCCAAGGCCACCTGGAGAGCTTCCTGGGCAAGTAATCCCTTTAATTGTGGGGAAGTCATGGGACAGAAGGAGAAAGTCTTTAATTACTGAAAATCTTTGCCTGCTGGTAACATCATGGGGATCGGAAAAGCGGTGGGACAGAAGTAGGATTTTTTTATTTACTGAAAATAGCCCCTTGCTGTTGATATTGTAAGTCGTGCAACAGGATTTGTGCTGGCATATTCGTTTGGAAACAAGTCCCCTTGGATCTGAGAGACTTACTTCCGTCTTGGTTCCCACTTTCCAGGAATAGTACTGTGTACTCAGAACAGTTTGCTAATCTAAAGAAAGCCTGTTTGCTGCCTTGCCCCATTGTGCCCCATGGGGTTCCACAGTAGTAAGCGCAAGACGTGGCAGTCCTTGTGGGCAGAATGTTATGGCAAGTGTTGTAGCTCAGCAGCCTACAGTCAAATGCTGCAGGGTTTGGGATAAGTGGATATAAAAGCTGAGATGTAGTGCAGCCCCCGTCTCTTGACGGTACATCTTGGCCTTTACACCCACTTTTAACAACAGTGCCCAACATTCTTGAGTCAGCATAGCGAGCCCAAGGATTAACTCCCCTCAAAGCTTCCTACATCACTTTCATATCTTTAGCTTGTCCCATAAAGGTACTTTGGCCCCTTCAACTTAGATGACGCTTTACTTCCGAATGGGACAGAAAAGGTTTTTGGCCCTCACCGAAGAGGTACCATTTACATTCTGGCAGCTGTGTTAAGCCACCATGGGTGTGTTTGTGAACATTCTGTGTCACCCTGTTAGCTGTGCTGATCACATGGGAGGACTTGGCACCGCAAAAAACCACTACGACTTA